CTGAAGCTCTTGATTTTCTTTAAATTGACAACTTTCATACACACAGTACGATAGGAGATGGCATCAGATACTTGCCGTTCCTCCACTAAGGAATGTTGAGAAACTGGGCAGAAGTTGCATCCAGCACACAAAAAATTTATAATTTGCCAGTGCAGGAAACGGATATCGGTAAAAACCAAGGCTCCCACAAAGAACTGAACAGAGAAAATCCCCAAAGCAAATTAAGCATCAGATGGTACCAGAAAACAAACCCATTCATCAGTTGCGGACAAAGAGGTCAGGAGTAAACTGGCGACATGTTTCATTACTTCAGGAACCTCTTCTGTCTTTAATTTCATCCCACAAAGTACGTCAAGCATGATACATCAAAGGCTTTTGGATCCCTAGGCTCATGGAAAAATAAATAAGTGTTTCCATAAGCATTTCAAGTGGGAAGAAAAGGCTATCTATGGGACAGCTAAACTGCAGTTCTGACTTGTGGAACTAAAAATGTTATTTCAAATAAATTATGACTAAAACCCTGCCCTCAAATGAGTGAAACCTGTAATTATTTTCTTTTCAAACCTGAGTAAAATAATTTTATTGCTTCCAGAGAAGTACAGCTTTACTGGCTAGATCAGGATAATGACTCAAAGCAGAATCATCCTCCACCTGAATAGAACATACTTGCTTTGAAAAAATGACTGACTGATTACAGCCATTAAGACAAGTTAAAAAATCTCAAGAGAATTCCATACAAGGTAATTCCAAACAAGGTAAGACTTCATACCTTCAAAACAAGGTAGTTGTAGAACACTGATTAAATCTTAATTTGCAGTATGATTTAAAAAAATATATTTTTTAAGCACAGGAGTGTGCAAGCATTGCTGTTGTACAGGAAAGGGAGATGGGCTCGCTTTGATGTGTATTCATTTAGCTGTTTCCAAGCAGGTAGCAGCACTAGCTGATCACAACAGTCACTGGTATTTACCCTCCACCTATCCAAGCAGTAAACTGTTCCATAGGAGACAGCAATAAAGGAGGTTCAGATTTTACATGGAAATAAAAGAATCTGAGAAAGACGCTGCTTATGAAATTGCAGGATGAAACACAACACTCAATGGAAGGGATTAAAGGCAGCTGGCACACTCCTGTATATTATCATTCTAAAATACATGTGACTTCAAATATATATTATGTCACAAACTGCAGGAGACACCAATGATTTTCAGATATTTTCTGAACACTTAAGTGACTCCATTAATTTTTCAGATATTCTTGGTGGCTGCTTGACAGCAAGAGAGTAATCCTTGGAGAACATTCAGCCTAACGCTGTCGTATGCGATAGCTCAGAGGAAACAAGCAGAAAAGAATTTCGAAATATCTTCTATAAAGTAAACCAATGAGAAATAGCAGTAAAGTGTTTAATGCCTGTAATTTATTGTATACATACTCTGCAAAACTTATATGCATTTGGTGTGTGCAAAAGTATACACTTTCTTGGCAGCACCAGAAAACAGTTAAGCTATGTACGAGTTTTTAACCTGATTTGTCACATTGTGTAAAAAGACATTGTGCACAAATGATATCCCCAAAGAAAAAAAATCATTGGCTAAAACTAGAAGCACCCTTATTTACACACTAACACTTTAATATTGCATCACACCCACTCACCAAAATAAATAGAAGTACATTCATCACAGTTTAAACACCAATCTCTCCATATATTTATTTTCTGACATGTTTTGGTCTCCAGAAATATGCTATATCTAGAAATACGCATCAGCTTCTAGAAATATGCTATATCTAGAAATATGCATCAGCTACTAGATTATGTTACAAAATGCAAAAAAAATAGAAAATTAGTTTTCCTGGACAATATTTTGAGCTTTACACAAAAATAAATCCAGATTTCCATAGAGATCTCATATACTTCTTGAAAGATTTTTTTTTATTTTAAAGCACAGCACAGAGTTGCACACTAAGGCTTCCTGTGATATGCAAAACCCTGGCCTCCAAAAGACATCGCTGTAAAGTGAAATACAGCTCAAGTGTAAATACAAGACATTTTCAAAAAGTAGTCATCGATAGAAAGTGCCCTTCATTTGATTTAGCATTAACAGTAAAGAAGTAGCTACTGTAATTGTGCAATCAAAGCCAGACCTGGAAGGGTTTTATGAAAAGTGTGTCATTTCAAACCATCAGGTTTAAGGATATGGAATCTGAGATCGCAGAAACCAACCAACCTTTTTATACTCCTACATTCATTATTTTTTTTGACACAATTTAGTAAAAAAGGCACATTGTCAAACAGTGAATTAAAAGTCTAAAAACCAAACCAGAATTTCATTAAACACAATTAAGTCATTAGCTTCACATCAGATCCTTGTGAACCAATACAAGCATTCTTCCAGTTTTTCTTAACCTCAAATTCAGATGCGCTTTGGACAAGTGCTGAAGTACTCTCATTAGATTAACAGTATTAATCTGGCAAACAGTACACATGTTTTTGGATACAAGGTCAGGAATTAAAACCCGAAAGTTTAGTTGTTCCTTCCTAGCCAATTTACAAATACGCAGCAAATGCAAACACATTAAAACCCAAACACTTGTACAAAGTTTGGAAACCATTAGTATCCCATGCCAATTATGAGAAAGTACTTCTTGGCTGTAAAATTACAGAAGTGTCCTTGAATAATTTTTCATATGAAACAGACTAAATTTAAGCAATGATCACTGCGTGAAGAAAGTTATACAGTGTCTTAGGGAGGCTAGCAGAGTACATTCCAGTCACCATCTAAAAGACAAATGACAAAATGCATAACAGATTAAGAAATTTAACCGATCTTGCATGGTTAAATAATCAGAAAGTGGTGAAATAACCAGGTTTTATTTAACCTATATTTATCTGAAACACAGGTTTAACTCTCAACTGAACCAATTTTGAATTAATATGTTTCTTTTGCTTCGTAAGAGACGTTTTTCCCCCCCAACCAGGCAGGAAGTTGCTCATAGCTGATATAGCTGTCTGGGTTGACAGACCTAGAGTCTTTCTGCAGCTAAAAAGAATTTAAAAAGTAAGAAACCCAGTAACTTGATTATGGTCCCAGTGTTCATTGTCTTGAATAGATAATTCTGAGAACTACAACAGAAAATTTTAGATGGTCCCCATGAAGCACAGTCAATACAACACACTTCTAGACAAGCAGTCAGGTTACACTATCTCGCACGGTCTCAGGTGCATACACTGAGAAACAGGTTTTTTTGTTAGTTAATACAGAAAGTTAAAATACAGAGGAGCAATGACGGTGTCTTCATCTGGGCTCCCTGTCAGCTAATACTGAATTAGTTTACAGAATCTATCCCAATAGCTTACTCATGTCAGTGTTTTACTGAGGCAGTGAAATGCTACACCATTGACAGAACACATCCTAAAGAGGCAGATCTGTTTTTTCTTACATTAAGAGTCAGATGTTTAAACTTCAGCAGCTTCCAAGATTGTTCCTTACAGGTTGCTATCTGAACTGTTTCCTAGGAGCAGCACTGTTAAGAATAGCCCCCTGATAGGAAAAGTTCCTTTGTTGTTTTTTCTGTAAGTTAATTTTTTCCTTTTTATCCCTTTACTTCCCCACCCCCCAAACACACAAAGCCCTTTTTGTACTTTTCCAAGTACTTCTAGCAGTAAAACAACAGCCTCAGCAGTTGAAGCCAGAGGTACTATCAATGGAAGGCTGGAGCTTGAGGCAAGGCTGAGTAGTGATACTGGTGAGCTTTGAAGGGCAACATGGGGAAATCAACACAGATGCAACACCAGATTTGAGCTTCAGAATCTCGGTACAACTCCTGCAGACTTACATGAACCCTGTGCTGATTGTAAACAAATTCAGTTACTGAAAGAAACAGTCTTTAAGTGCATAGTTAGAAATAATGTGCAAATATGGGCATTGGGGTAAGTAACTGAACTAACTCTTCTGCTGTACATAACATTTTAGATTTTTGGTTTGATGAAATTGTTCACGAGTATGAACTAGTTAACAGGAAGCTGTTAATATTGAAGAGCTGCAATACATTCTAACAGAACTTAATTCTGATTTGCTTTCTAAATAGTAAGACTAATTAGATAAATGACTGCTTCACGTTTTAATTAATTTAACACATCGGATGTTTAATGCAAGAAAAAACATGTGCACCATACACAAGTTGTAAAAGCAGCAGAAGCTGTGAAACAAATGTGAAGATTTACAGGGCAGGAAAAGAATTCCCAAGCGTATGCTTGAGCCCAAAAGCACAAGTTACATACAAACACTAGAAATTCCTGTTTTCAAGGTGTGTACTTTTCACACTGAATTAGATTGGCATTGGAATTCCCGACACAGCAAAAGCCAACATAATCTTTTGGCCATATCTGTAACTGTACAGTTTGCAAACAACATGCACTTTTCTGTTTAGAAACAGAGGTTCAAATTATTTTTATGGGTCCTCAAATCAAAAAATACACAGCACTTTATTGCTTTGAACATCTGTGGCAACAGCTGAATCTACACCCAAGCTGCTTCTGTACGGAAGATGAAATTTCAATACTTTGAGGCTCAAGTCGGAGACGGAGTAGGAATTTCTCCAAGTCTCAAGAAGTATCAGGGAACAAGAATGCTATTCCATTCTTTCAAGTGAATGTAAAATTGGTTTATTGGTATATGGGCCCACACAGTTCTGAGTCAGTGCATAGCTAGTCAATATTTCTGCTGGCATCTTGAACTGGTTTAATCAATGGAAACATCTATTAACTTTATTCCACTGAATAATATGCATTAGTGCATTAATTTCTTCATAAAAAGCCAACCCTGGCAAGTATTAAAAATAAATATCTTATTTAGGTCAAACTAAAGCCTTGCTTTTCAGTACTTTAATCCCTTTAAATATTCTTTTGCCCTCTAACAAGCAAATGGAAACTGAAGTAGAGTAAGAGATGTATGGAAGCAGAGGGTAGCAGAAACATGAACAAAGTCAACACCAGAAGTCAGTTAACGTGTCCTCAGCTTCTTAGACTGTCGCTTGCGTTTTAATTCTTCTTCTTCCCGTCTCAATTCCTCTAAGTCCTCCTGAACACCGAGTCTCAAGCTGCCAAATAAGATTAAATCCTTTACGCACTGCTACTCAAGAAACATGAAGTTTGACTTCTACCCCTCCCCCAAGAAAAGCAATCCTAAAATTACAGCTGATTTGAGCAGAAATTTTAGATCAGTTCAACAACCACAAGTTTTCTTTAATAATAGCAATAATATAGCTTTAAGAAATAAAGATTTTATCATTAGATTAGAATCAAATCTTTTGATGGAAAAAATATTTAAGACTTTTGTGAAAAAAATATCAAGGTAGTGAAAACACCCTGATTTTAATACAGAAGGTCTTTTTTTTTCTGTAAAGAAGCTGCTGAAACATCCATCAATTCTTGCCAATGTAACTCTTACATACAAGTCACAGCAAGATTGACTCACCAATTTCTGAGAGCCACCTAGACCTTTTCCATTGGCAAGGGAGAGAATGGATGTCAAACAGTAGAGAAGCTTTTGTTGCAGCTTCCTGGCTTGAGGCACCACTCAGGTAGCTACAAGCACAACATTGCTCTACCCTCAGTCCATCTAGCTGCCATGGTGAACAGGCCCATCGAAGAGACTCTGCTAATACAGCATGTTCTAGCAAATATCCACTCTAACTTAGCCCCATGACTTGGACAATAACTTTCTACCCGAGTTTACACCCGTGCATACCTCCTAGCTTCTTCTTTCTGTTGCTCTCTCCAGCTGCTCTCCATATAACGTAAGGCATAATCACTTTCATCCTTGTATCTGGAAATTAAATGTTAGTTTTCAGCACACTAAAAAAACATGATAATGCAGAGCTGAGTCATGAATTCACATCTCTTTAAAAAGAATAATCAGCTTGCCATACATAGATTTTAACGTTCTAAAAGATTCTAAGTTAGAAGCTTTAAAATCCTTGCTTTCTTATACCTTATGGTCAGACAAGAGCAAAGTATTTCAATAAGCCAAATAAGAGCCTTCATTTTCCAGCAGTTCCTGGTCATATCAAGTTAGATCCTCTTATAGAACAGCTAGCAGTATTGCATTTAGCAGTTCATATTCAGGCAGCTACATCTGATGAATTCTCAAGTACTGTAGACTGCTGTAGAAAGCATTTTAACATTCAATAATAGTGAAAAGTTCCTACGAATTATACAGGCAAGACATTGAAGAAGTTGTTTTCTAACTATGTCCTATTGCATCAAATTTTACTGCTCCCCAGAAGAGCATGGCAGGCAGTGTGAAAAGCAGGCAGTGTGAAAATTCAAGGTCCCTCTGCACAGAAGCAGCTCTAATGCTTGTTAAATTTCTGCAATGCAAAACCATTTCTGGATATCAGCACTTCCACCATTTCCAAAACATCATTTGTTGAACTATGTTAATTTCTGTTGTTCTCTTGCTTGTTCTGCAATACCTTAAAATTGACATTTTTCTTACCTCTTCCTGTCATAGCCGAATATCTCCCGAATATGTTTTGATATTTCTTCTTGGGGTTCACCTTCGTCTTCAATGAAGTCATCCATTTCAGAGTCATATTCGTCATCATCATCATCTATTTGTCTCTTGTAACTAATCGGTGGTCTTCCAAGACCTAAAGGACAGGGGAGTGAAAACAATCCTTAATTAATAACATTAATATAACATTATTTTAACAGTACTTCTCCTTGCTTTACCTTGGGCACAGCCATTTTACAGCTCTGGGCTTCCATGGGGAAAACTTCTGCCTCAAGTTATCTAGCAATTCTCAGAACCTCACTAAAAGGACACCTCTCCTCTCAGCTGTGCTATAGAAGATGACATGTCAGTATCACCAACAGCATCCTGAGCAAACTACCAGACAAAGTCTATGGTCTTGTTCAGGGCTTTCCAGGCTCTTATTTGCAAGAGTCCACGCTGCTTGTGCCTGTTCAGAAACAAATTTTTAGACCTGCTTGCTTACTGATACGGGGAATTTGCCAAAACACTTAAATATCAGTCACAGGTTTGCTGTGTGGTTTTAATTTTCATGTTTCACTTTGAGCATTAATTATTTAAGACACTAGAAAATTTTAAAGACTAAGCATAATTAAGCAATGCAGGAAGCGAGTCCTTCAATTCTTTTCTTTCTAACAGCATTAGCATACCAACATCCACCAGTCTGCTTAGTTTTCTTTCACATAATACTTCACGCCCCAGGCCTGTATTTCAAGGAATATGAGCATAGGTAAAAATAAATAAAAAGTAGTACAGCAAAAAAAGCATTCTACTGTTAAACATACTTTGTAAAAGGCAAATATGGTATTTTGTCCAAGTCTTCCTACTTGCATCTGTAATTATCAAAGACCCTCAGTGACCTCAACTCAGCCGTATACAAAAAATACAAAATAAATAAGTGAAAAAACTATTTGCTCTAGAGTTTTATACCTTGCGGATGAAACACAGGTCTATGCCCTTGAAAAGATCTCATTCCATTCATCTGTCCATTGCTAGGTCTTGCAACTAGGTTCTTAGAAGAAATAGTTTCCGACACAACAGTACACTTCGGTTTTACAGTTGCTCCCAAGCTGCCGCCTGGTCGCCCAGGTCCTGTGCTTGGACCGATTCCTGGCCTTCCTGGTCCTGCTCCCAAGCTGCTGCCTTGTCGCCCAGGTCCTGTGCTTGGACCGATTCCTGGCCTTCCTGGTCCTGTTGCCAAGCTGCTGCCTGGTCGCTTGGCTCCTGTGCTTGGACCGATTCCTGGCCTTCCTGGTCCTGTTGCCAAGCTGCTGCCTGGTTTCCCAGGTCCTGGGTTTGTGCTGACTCCTGGCCTTCCTGGTCCAGTGCCCAAGCTGCTGCCTGGTCGCTTAAGTCCCACGCTTGAGCTGCTGCCTGGTCGCCCAGGTCCTGTGCTTGAGCTGCCAGCTGGCCTTCCAGGTCCCATGCTTGAGCCACCACCCAGTCGCCCAGGTCCTGGGCCTGAGCTGCTGCCTGGCCTTCCAGGTCCTGTGGCTGAGCCACTGCCTAGCCGCCCAGGTCCTGGGCTTAAGCCACTTCCTGGCCTTCCAGGTCCCATGCCAGAATCGCTGCTCGATCGCCCAGGTCCTGCACTTGAACCACCACCTGGATGTCCAGGTCCACCTTTTCCCAAGCTGCTGCCGGATCGTTTTGCATTGGAGTTGATTCCATGCTGGAGGGCTGCAGCATTTCCTGGTTTTGTATGGGCAGACTTTTTCAGGCTGGATTCTTTAGCAGATGGTAGCCTCTGAGCCCCATTGGCCACTGGTTTGGAGGGTGGCACATGAGAACTTGAGCCAGACTTTCCAGTACCATTGACAGGTAATTTACTATGACTGCTACCAGTAGAGCTTTTTAAGGAGCCGTTTTGAGAGTTTTTTTCCATTTGGTCAAACCTGGAGGAAGATGATGACCGTGAGTGCTTTTCACTTAGCACCAGTGCTTTGGATTTCTTACCAGTGCCACTCATAGATGATGACAGACTGCCTTTTGGTGTGGAATGTTTATCTACTGAGCTTTTGAAAAGTTTTGCATTTACAGATTCCTTCTGAGAGGTCACTTTTTTTGAAGAACTGGGTATCCCTGTATTCTTAATCTCTTTCTCACTTTTCTTACGTATTTCTACTCTTTTGTTTTTGCGTCCCAAATACTCCCTCTCTCTCAATTCTTCTGCTGTTCTGGGTCTCTCTTCTACCTTTTTCACTGGTTTTATTTCCACTGGTTCATATTGTTTTTTTTCAGCAAGCCTTAAGAGCTCTGCAAAGTTCAGAGGTGCAGGTGCACTTTTGGGGGGCGCCTTTGGTTTCACTGCAACTTTGGATGGTTTCTCTTCATATTCTTCTTGCTCATGCTCAGATTCAGTCTGATTGTATTCGAGTTGCTCAGTTTCATCTTCTGTTGCATACTCAGCCCCTGGGGCCTGAGCGACATTCTCACAAGCTCTCCTCTTTTTAGGCTTCTCCTCAACAGGAATTTTATAGCCATAAAAATTATCCTTTGTTCGTGAGGCCATAGCTCTTGCCTTTCTATCATGTTTCAGTTCAATACGTTTAGCCAAGAGTTGTTCTTTCTTTCTTCTTTCTTCCAGTGCTGCCAAAGAAAACCAGGAGAAAGTTATGCAAAAGCACTACTTTTTATTTCCATTTCTTCCAAACTGATAAACCATTTAGGACGGCAGTTAGGGATATACGGCTAACAGCTATTCAAAATGGACCAGAAAGGATCATAGGTCTCTCAACAGGGCAAGAGCTAACCCATCTGAATCAGCTACTCCCGACAAACAAAGGCAAACAATTAAGTCAAATGCTGCTATTGCAAAACCCACTAAGAAGATTCAACTGAAGCAGCTCTCCAGAATGCTATGCAAGCTAAGGAGAATTACAGAACTTACAGGATCTCTGGGTAACAGAAGGAGTTCTGAGACTGGCCAAGAGAATTTTGAGCTATACAGAATTTACTATCAGATGTTTAAGGAAAGATGAGGAAAGGGAGGGAATCAAAGAGTATCACAGGTGTAAGAACTGGAAAACAGGCTGAGTGTGTGTAGAGGGGTGCAGGGGAGAGATAGAAGCAGTCAGCCACCTGAGTGCTACATTTGTCTGTGCCTCATCTCCACAGCCTGTCCTATATTCTTATTGAACTGGGTTTAGCTATTTTCTGCGTACGTATGCTCTCTATCTTAAGTCTATGTGTCATCTCCTGACAACATTCAGGCTGAACTAGCTGGTGAATAATATGAGAAGTCTGAACTCCAGATACTGGAGAGACCAAGGGAGTGGGGGCCAAATGCCAGAAAGTCTCAGGAAAAGCATAAATTCCTAGAAAATGGATTGGGCTACTTGTGCTGTGGGTGCCTGTAAAGGTACCATCCCCTGCCTATGTTATTCTGTTTTCAAGGGCTGTGACTATAGGGCATGTGAGTGCATGAATGCCTACATGGGATTCTCACTCATGACTGGCCCAGGAGGAGGAATATCCCGGGCCATACAGTCCATCAGATTTGGTTACCTTTAACAAAACATTAACATCAGAAGCAATGCAGTATTAGTTCATTCTATAGACTATTTAAAAGAAATACACAGTGGAAAAACTGTAGCTCAAACAAGGCCTCCGCCATACAAATTTAAAATTTGGACTGTCTTGATACACTAGATTAAGACACAACAACAGGAACTTTTACTTTTTTTTAAACAGAAAAAGCTTTTCCAAGGTAAGTTAAAGTTCAGATGGTTTCTTGCACTATCTCTTCATCTTAACTACTTCTCGATCTCAAACAGTAGTGTAGCTGATTAATATTTGACTCCTCAGGAAAGTGTGCAAGCATCCCTAGTCTATCCTTAGTCCTGGCTTTCCCTTAGCGTCATTTATGTGCTTAAATTCCAGAAACAGATGTGTATCTGCAAGAGCTTTGAATAAGGTGATAAAGACTCAAAAGTCAGTGAAGGTCTCCCAGAGGAAATATTTTTGACTGTTACCTTTTTTTCTTTTTTCTTCTTCTTGCCGTCTGAGAAACGCTTGCACTGCTGCAGACTCTACACCCTTGACTTTTGGAACTTTTTTGGGAGGACCAACAGCCAAACTGTACCTTTTCTGCAAAGAACAAAGAAATATGTCAGAAAAATTAAGAAATGTAAAAATCTTCAAGTTTTTAAAACTGCAGAGTTGCTTAACAGTCATGTACTTGACTTTAGGCATAGAGATGGTAGAGAATACACAAACAACAAATTCCCACTGAAGCTAAGATGGATACACTTGACTCCCAGTCATACTTGGGTTCAGGCTGACTAAGGAGCAACAGGCCTCAAGTCCTTGCAATGAACTTCTGAGCTAGAAAGCCCCTGGCTCGCAGGGAGTGAAGGTGTCTTGAAAAATATTTTGAAAGGTGGTTTCAAAACCCAAAGTGCAAGATAACCAAAGTACAGAAGAAGATACCAGAGCTAAAACAAAGACATCCATCTTGTCTGTACTATCGCCTAGCAGCCAACTACTTCACCCCGTAAATACTGACAGGATGAGCCCAACCTGAGCTCTCCCTGAACTGCAGCTGGACTGAGTGCCAGCTGACTCTCCCCATGAGCAAGGACATCTCTCAAGGTTAGAGATTCTTTGCCTGAGATGAAGGGATCCTTCCTTGCCCAAGGCAGAGATCCCTTACCCACAACAGATCCTCAGTGACTGACAGCACGCTGAATTAATATTATGAAACATTACTAATCCATGTAGCTACTCAATATTATTATAAACACTGTATGGACAATTCCATTAGACATAAATGACTGACCAAGTCTGAGACTAAGATTGGATCCAGCCACACCTAGGCTCCAAAAGGAGTTTAAAAAGCAAAGGGGTCCACTCTGAACCTCGTGACTCAACAAGAGGGTCCTCCTTACTCTTTGCATCTCCGATCTATGTGAATCATTCTAACTCAGCTTTCCTTTGTAGGTTTCTTCCATGCAGTAATTAATAAGGTGATTCTTGTCAAGCTTATTGAACCTTGTCAAACCACTGAAAATTTTGTTAAATTTCATCAAACTCATTGAACTCTGTCAAATTATTATTTTATCTCAATAACAGAGATTGCTGCTTCTCTTTTGCGTGAGGAGCATTCCGCTCATCCACAACAGGCCTGCACTCAGCTTTCCAAAGGAATGAGCAGAAAACCAGAAGACAGGTAGGAAAACCAAAACAAAAAAAAAGAATAAAACGTGCTGGACTGAGAAGGAAGGCAACAGCTGCATCAGTAATGGAATAAAGATATTTCAGTTGAGCCTTAGTCTTTGGTCAAGCAGGAGACAAAAGCAGACTACAGCCCAACCTGCTGAAGTCTGTTCACTTCCAGACTGCAGGTTTACAGGTCCATTAGGGCTTCCAGCTTTTTTGTGGATGCTTGTTTCAGTTTCAGGTTATCTTATTCAGTGAAAATAAACAAATCAACTCAAAAAATGGAATTACTCCAAAAGTAAGTTGGAACTGACTTCACCAGCATCATTAGTAGGTTAGTCTAAGCCCAGTGACACTTATTTTAGTTCTTGCTGCAGTGATCTTAAACAGAAGACTACCGTACATCAAGGAGTTAGTGTTCCGCTGGCCTGAACAGGAGCAGGCCTGCACTCTGCTCTACTTATCACTTGAGACCAGACTAACTGTGACAGAATACACAGCCCCTACTTGGTGCCTGGAAATTGCACCACTTCCATCTGGTGTAATTTGCCTGGAGAAGAAAAGGCTACAGGGAGACCTCACTGCACCCTTTCAATAGTTAAAGGGCACTTATAAGAAAGATGGGGACAAACTTTTTAGTAGGGCCTGTAGCGACGGGCCAAGGGGTAATGGTTTTAGACTAAAAGAGGGTAGATTCAGAGTAGATATAAGGAAGAAACTTTTTACGATGAGAGTGGTGAAAGACTGAGGGAGGTTGCCCCGAGAGGGTGTAGATACCCCAACCCTGGAAACATTCAAGGTCAGGGTGGACGGGAGTCTGAGCAACTGGATCTAGTTGAAGGTGTGCCCTGTTTTTTGCAGAAGGGTCAGAGTAGATGACATTTAAAGGTCTCTCCCAACCTAAACCATTCTATGATTCTATGTCTCATCATATCTTGAGGTGAAGCAACATGTTTTCGTAGAACATCCTTTTGCTTGGCAGGGAAAGTGTGTATCAATAGAGCTGTTTACTTCCAAGAACATCCTACAAAAGCTCTAAAAACTACAATGCCGGCCATCCTTACCACAGAGAGGATTTCCACTGCTTGCCATGCCTAGATGTCTGTTCAGTGCTGTACAATTCAGGGTTCCAGCAGCTGAGCAGAGGTAAAGTTACCTATGCTATCCACTTTTTTCCTTCTCGTTACTGATTAAAATAACATTTATTGGAGACGTTAAGAGTCCAAGTGCCTTTCTTACTGGGATCTATAACAAACACTTGCACTAGTGTGCTACACCTGTTCAGACATTACCTTTCAAAAATATACCAATCACCAGATTGGGCTTTAGAAAGATAAAATGGAAAGAAACAAAGACTTTGATCTTTTTCCCACAGACTAAAGAAAAACAAAGCAATGAGAAGGACACAGACACTTGGAACAATAAATACAACAGAAGTCAGTTAAACCCAGAAGCAGATGGAATATGTTCAGGAAAAAAACAACTCTATTTGATGTTTGAGAGGTTTGGGTTGTTTGGTTTGTGGTTTTTTTAATTCCAGTAGTAAACTAATAGATGAAAACCTAAACCAAGGTCTTCCACATGGCAAGTTAAGATCTTCACCAATGAAAGAGCTGTGAAATATGGTCTCAAATAAAGCCAGTATCACTAATTAAAAAAGCCACGTAAGTCCGTATTCTCATAAATACCTTCCAATCCTCATATAGCCTTGTGCTGGGTTTACAGGAGGGGCTGCAGAAGTGGCCCCTGTAAGTAGCTGTGAAAAGCTTCCCCAGCTCCAAAACCCATTGGACCCGCCTCTGGCCAGGTCAGACCCTCCATCCCCTCAGGCCAGGGCCAAGTCCATCAGTGTCTCTGTGAATGCCCTATTTAAGACAGAGACAAAGGAGCCCAAACAGGGGCTGGACCTCCACTGGAGATAGGGGGGAGGCAGGGGCTGTCTCCCCAGCCAGGCACTGCCCATGCTGCACTGCCGTGACCAAGGTTCATCAGGCCTGGGACAGCTGCAGCAGAGAGAAATGAGACCCGAAATGGCCACGCAGACACCAAGGACAGTGAAGATGGAGCAGGAGAAGGTGTGCCAGAGCTGAGATTTCCATTCCCCTGAAACCTGTGGTGAGATGGTCGATGGCCCCACTGCCACCTGTGGAGATTTACAGTGGAGCAGAGATCCCCCTGCAGCCTGTGGAGAAGCCCACACTGGAGCAGAGATGCTTGTGCCTGAAGGAGGTCGCAGAGAATGGTCTCCGTGAGCTTCTGGAGGCTGATGACGAGGTGGAAAGACATCTGAAGCCCATGGAGAACCCCATGCCAGAGTGAGTGGCAGCTCCCTAAGAAGCTGTGACTCTGTGGGGAAGAAGCCTGCGCTGGAGCAATCTGATGGGTAAGGATTGCATCCTGCGGGAAGGGCTCACATTGGAGAAGTCTGTGGACTGTCCTGTGAGGAGGGGATCCATTGGAGCAGCAAAAAAGAACATAAGGATTCCTCCTCCTTTAAGAAAAGAGCAGCAGAAACATGTGATGAACTGACCTGCACTCCCCCACTCCCTGTCCCCCTGCACAGCTGGGGAAGAAGGGAGCAGTGGGGGAAAGTGTTTTTTGAGATTTGGCTTTGTTTCTTGTTATCCTCTCTGAATGAGCCCTTAAGGAACTGTTTTGTCCCCAAACTGAGTCCATTTTGCTGAGGGCCATGGTTGGTGGGTGATCTCTCCCTGTTCTTATCTCGACCCTCAGGCCTTTTGTTACACTTTCCTCCCCTCCACCTCACTGAGGGGAAGGAGTGAGTGACTGACCTCATGGTGGCTTAACTGCCAGCTGGGCTAGACCACGACAGCCTTATGAAACTGAACTAAAAAAATTAAATCAAAATACCTGGTGAAGATACCTGCACACAAATGTCTTAGAAGCAATGAGGCAAGCTAGTAGCGTAATTTTGTATAGATTTCAGTATTGTGTAATGGAAACCTTCATTCTTATCTCCAATTCATTGAAACAGCAGCACAAGAATAGATCCTTGGATTACTTTAATTACTAACATGCAGACCTATACATTATCTTGTATATACACACACTAAGCAGCAAGGTTCAGACACTCATTTCTAAAACGCAGCCAAAACTGGCTCCAAGAAGGACAGCTACAATAACAGCCATTTTAAAGTTGCCCTTAGTAATTTCTGAAACAACTAAAACAAAGTTATGAAGGTACTCCTGCAATGTACAAAGGTGGTGTAAAACCTGACATGTCTCGTCACATTAAAGACCCGTCACAGTCAAGCTCATTGTCCTGGTTTTAGCTGGGACAGAGTCAGCTCTTTTTTTTAGCAGCTAGAAGAGCTCCGTGTTTTGGTTTTACTCAGAGGCTCGCTCTGAGAAGAATGTTGATAGCAAGCTGATGTTTGTAGTTGGCACTGAGGTCTCAAGGACTTTTCAGCTTGCAGTGTTCTTGCCAGTGTGCAGGAGCACAACAGGATAAGGGGGGAGCATGGCCCGGACAAGGGGTCCACAACTCTCCTCACAATTTGTACTTGGACTTAAGATTGAGGGCCAAACTGGCCAATTAGTATTCCATATCATGCAGCATCATGCCCAGTATAAAAGTGAGGGTCAGCTGGAAAGAAGGGCTTTTTGCCCTTCTGGGACTCTCACTTTCGGACTCTGAGTGCTTTCTCTCTCTCTTGCTCTGTCTCGAGGCCTCCTGTTCATCCGGCATTGCGTTATCAAGTTTTATCCGTTTCGGGATTGCAGCTTCGTGACAAGACAGGCCTTGGTCAAGGGGTGGTGAGCAATTACACCGTACATCACTCGTTTGTATATATTTATCCTTGTACATATCTGTACATATATACATTGGTAGCGGTAGTAGTAAATTGTTCTTATCTAAACCTACGGTCTCTTTTTTTTCTTCTTTGATTCTCTCCCTCATCCCTGGGGTGGGG